GATGCCACGTGAGAGAATTTATAAATATGAGTGAAGCGACGCAACTCACGTGTTTAGGTCAGGTGATCATGACAAAATGGCGGATGTAGTACATCCATGTTCCATTTATACTGCTCACATTCACAATGTATAGAACAAACTTTTTTTTTAAGGCCGAGTAGTACATTTAAATTCAAATGTGGTACCTACTGAGTAGTAAGCTGTTTCTGACGCAGCCTTTATTTCTCAGGGGATGGGAAAAGAGGTGGTTTGCCCAGGGTGCCATTTAACATATATAAAAATTTAACTAAATTTCTTCAGAAATGATTTAATTATTCAAAATCTTAAGTGATTTTAGTTGTGGCTTCACCATGCTAGTAAAATGGTAAAATCATGACTCTGAAAAAAAAAAAAAAACTCTTAATTTTGTGTAAAATCAGTTTTGTGAAAGGTCAGTGTTGCCAACATGTAAAATAATAATAATAATAATAATAATAATAATAAATGTATAGGCACATCCACTCAATACCAATTAATACTTTTTCAAATACTTTGTACTGTGCTACAGAATACATGTAACTCATGAAACATATCAAAAACGTATTACTATTACTGATAGATCTGAAAATACTGACAATTCCTCCAAAACATGATTGTAGTGAGTGGGGCAGGGCCGAGAGCCATGAGAGTGCTATGAGGATGGTGGTGTGCATCACCTGTCTCGAGTCTCATGGAGGAGCTCTGGAAACTTAAAAGGAAAGACAGCAATGGAAGAACAAAGAGGACAAGGCCTGGACATTTTGTTTGCTAGCAGTTTGTTTATATTCATAATTAGAATTACTTTAAGTTCTTCAGTTCTTTGCCTCCTTTCCAGTGGCCAGGGAGCCATGAGCTTCATTAAAATGATTTTATTTAATAATGTTTATGAAGCATGCATATGGCTGCTCTGAGCACAACAAAAATCAGATGAAGTGAATTTTATCCACTTTTAACCTTAATATTTAGTGCGTCTACCTACCTGCAAATACAGTAGCACATCTTTATTCTAGTTAACATATTTCCTGGAAACGTCAACCTTAATGTCATGGTATGGCTTCTGGAACTGAAGACAAAGGCTTTCCTGTGGATTTTGTGAACATGATTGTGTAACAATGACAATAAAATAGGCCTAGGTTTTTATATATATATATATATATATATATATATATATATATATATATATATATAAAGAAAATGACTTCAATCTCTTTATGATACTCACAGTGCATAGTAATGGCTCTGGATATTTCATTATGGGTTTTATAGGTATTGTATTGGCCAATTCAACAAAAACTAATGAAACCTCTATATATCCATTTTCCATACACCACTGGAAAAATACTGTACACAAATAATAGAAATTCAAATGAGTGAATTAGTTCATGTAATGAATACACATTTGCTCTCTCAGCAGTACCGATGTACACACCGTGGCGTCTTTGCTGAAGCTGTACCTCAGGGAGTTGCCTGAACCTCTGGTGCCATTTTCCCGCTATGAAGAGTTTCTTGTATGTGGCAAAAGAATTCCCTCAGATAGGGAAAAGGTAAACTCTTCCAGTTACTTCAAAGAGCACATAATAATGCTTAATTTAAACACAATTGTAAATGTTATTACAATCTGCAGTTAAAGGATTGACAAGAATTCTGTTTTATAACGTCATGCTGTACAACAGGGTTTGCAAGAGTTAAGGAGTCTCCTTTATGAGCTGCCTGTAGCAAACTTCAACCTCCTGAAATACATCTGCCAGTAAGACTGAAGTCCATTTTTACCATCATAAGATCTAGGGATATGGTTTTCCATGTCTAGGTATTGGCATTTGGAGCTTTTGCTTAATTGGCAATGACATGTCTATCCTAGTCTTGAAACTTTAGTCATGGCTCACATCAGATAATGCAGCAATGACACATCTCTGTTCCAGATTCTTAAATGATGTCCAGTCATACTCTAATGTCAACAAGATGAGTATCCAGAACCTGGCAACTGTATTTGGGCCAAATATCCTCCGGCCTAAAGCTGAGGACCCAGAAAGTATCATTGGAGGTGAGCAATATTTAGGTCTCCATAAAAAGGATCCAAGGGTAAATTCAGGTGACGTCCTGGCTTGACTAAGATTTAGATAGCTCTCTAAAGTTAGCGTATGTGCTCATAGGCTTGTAAAGATATATGATGCTGTTTGCCACACACTTATACATCCTTCTCTCCAACCCTAGGGGCAGCAGTTGTGCAACATCTAATGTCAGAACTGATCCGGGAGCATGGCCTGCTCTTTTCCCGAGAGAACTGCAACCTTCCTGAGACATCTTTACAAGCTGTCCATGACATACAAAGACACAGTGATCTTGTGGAATGGGTGCACGAACCACCTTCTCACCCGCGGGAGCCCCTAATAAACAAAGATTACACCACACTTCCAGACCAGACTGTAGCCTGTCCTCGTAAACACTCTTTACCACCAACCACAGAGAGGACAGGGTCTTTTCAAAAACCCTGTGACAAAACATTGTTACACCATCTCTCTGAAACAGAGCGACAGCTTCAAGAGGACTGTTCGCCAACCAGCTCTACACTAATTTGCGATAACCAAAGTCAACACAACTCAGCACAGGAATCTCTCCATACAAGACATGTACTATCACCCTCCACCCCACCCCCTGCCTGCTCTACTGTGAACAATGTGCTGGAAGCTGGGGTCGAAATGTGTGTGCAGTCAAGGAGCTGGTCTGGCATGGAAGATGCCAGATGGGGACCGGAAAGATTGTTAGGAGAGAGTGGAGGCAGCAGTGAAGCTCAGGACAGCACTTTATCTGTCTATGACAACATTGTTACTGAGGTACAATATACAGAGGACAGAGATGCCAAAGGTACTGCCAGTGCGACTGATAGCAACAGCTCCTGGTCCTCCTGTGAGATTGTCCCTTTGGATGGGGGAAGTGGGAGTGGTGGAGCGGCTAGCCCTTGCCATGCTTCCCCTGGACAGTTTCCCTCATTTAGAATGGACTCTGGGGAAGAAGACCTTCGCCCCAACTCTCTTGCCTCATCATCTGCTCCCACAGATGCCCCTTTAAGCACTGGCAGCAGTGAAGTTTTTTTGCCAAATGCACCCCAGGAACCCTTAGGGTTTCCAGCTTCCCATGCCATGCAGTGCCTCATTGCAGGGCTTCGTCAACAGATGACCAGGCAAAAGGCAGAGTATGAGGCTAAAATAAACAGGTAAGATCACTTAATTTTGGTAAATTCTAGCAGAACACGTTTGTTTGTTGAGGGAAAACTGCAAAACTCTGGCACCTGATAAACCAATGTCATAAAGAGTTTCTGTAACTTTTATCAATCAAGACTGTTTGGGATGAATTGAATTACAGACAAGTGGGTTGGTCCATGGCTAAATATGAATGGTGTGTGACAGGGGTAGGGTTGGCCTTGGGCTGAGGTGTTTCAACTGGCTGCACCCAAGCTGCACGCCTTCAATGTAAATAACAAACTTGCACGCAGAAGAGACACCATATGTGACCAGCTCCAACACTGCCATCAGTTGGGATCTCCAGCAGTTGATCTTTTCATGAAGACATGCTGGATTCACCTGATTTGTTGACAAATGGTTTTGTATCCATTCCTTGGCAGTTTGTGGGTCCTTCACTTGGACCTTTTCACAAATGAAAATTTCCAAAGAATTCTGTTTCTTACTTATTTTACTAGCTTGTGGGTTAAATTGTTGCACTCAAGTGACTGAGATGTAACAGATTATAGTCATTTTTCAAAAAAAAAAAAAAAAAAAAAAAAAAAAAAAAAGATCATTCAGATCATGAATAAACTGAACGAATGCTTTTATGCGAAGCTCAGTACCAATTCATCCATGGACCAGTACCGGTTTGCGGCCCGGTGTTGGGGACCACTACCTCCATTAATGCATTATTTCCCAACACTATTCCTGAAGGCACACCAACTTAATTTTGAATGGCTCCATTAAAGAACCCTTCTAGTTCAGGTTACAAATATGTACTGCTCTATGTTGTATGCTGTCCGTTTTCCACATGATAAAGATTTAGAAACACTGAACTAATATAGGAGTGTACATAAACACAGTTTGTTTACTTTGTTGTCTTTTGTGCCTTCAGACTGGAGCAAAGAAACAAAGTGCTTCAGGGGGAAGTTGCAGGGTTGCGATTAACTCTGGAACAGCAGCGGCGCTGGGTGAGCATGGCTGAGATCAAGATGCGTAACGTAGAGCGAGCCCGTGCAGATGCCGACAGACGAAATGCCACTCTTCAACAAGAAATGGAGCAGTTCTTTGAAACGTTTGGTGAGCTTCATGCAGAGGCTCGAAAAACTGGTCGAATTGTTCAGAGTTTTTGAACCGTTCAGGGGCTGTGCTACAAAAAACAGCCTTCACAGCATCTCTAAGGTTGCTTTAGAGCAGTGTTTTCCAATTCTATTCCTGGAGCATCCCCAACAGTACACTTTTTGGATGTCTTATGTGATATTTCTGATAAATATACATTTTAAGAAGAAGTCTAAAGATTCTACGAGGGTGATGATGGGCTGAATGAGGAGAACATACAAAATGTCTAATGTTGGAAATGGTTTAAGGGCTGTAGAAATAAGGATGCATCCCTGAGAAAACCATTGCCCTACTTTAAGTACAGTTCAGTTGCCTGAACAACTGTGCGGACCAGCATGTCAACTTTAAAGACCATTTTGGCCATTCAAGTGATCAGAGACAATGGAATAAACCAAAAAGTAGAACAGTTTTATAATGTCTAGAAAGCATGAATGCCATATTTCAGACAGGATTCTAATGGAAACTAGTCTTTTGGGATGCTCTATTACATACGCTCTGGTGGGTAGCTAGGGTCTCACTGTTTTACAGTTTTATTTGACTCCTGTGTAACCGACAGAAGACACGCATACCTTGTACATTGTTCATACACTGAATGTATTTGTACCATATGAAATAAAATGTAAAAACAAATCAACAAACAAACTTTAATATGAGCTTTTTATTTGGCCAGTCATAACAGATGTTTAATTTCTTTATCTTTTTTTGAGAGAGAAAAGAGGTATCACTCTACCATTGTAGATGGAGGACTCCATTTAAGGTTTTGCATATGTTTCAGACAGGTTCGTAATTTGGGTCACCTTCATCATAGCCCACTGACAGGGCGCCCATATGTAGCACAACAATACAAAACACATGAAAGCTAAACAGACATTACTAGCACAGAGCAGTTAGATATTTATTCCTTTTACAGGATTTGATTGTGAAGATTCTGATTGACGATGACCATGAGAACTGTTTTCTTAAGAAGAAGTAAATGAATATCTAAAAAGTGAACAATTCTTCAAGTCATAACTGATTCCACCTCTAGTGATAGATTGTCTTTTGACAAAAACACACTGTTGGTTAGACACACACTCTCTCCCCCAAAGGAAATGGACACCTAAAAGAAGAGAAGTTAAGCCCTTGAGAAAAAGCGTGAGCCAGCTTTGTTCGTTTTCTTAAAGGTCTCAGTGCCATAGAGGTCCATCACTAACGTTCATAACAGGAGTCACAACACAACAGTGAAACAAATGTGCATGAGGCTCCGAAATGAAAATGGAACACAATGGACTATTGCGTTGTTCTAATACATTATTACTGCGCTAACAGTAAAGTGAAGCACCAAATGAGATCTCACAATCTTAAGGAGACCAGAAAAATGAGATGTTTGGGAAAGCAGATGAACAATCCAGACTGTCGGAAAAAAAGAGTCAAAGCTTGATTGTTGAATATAATATTACTATCAATTGTTTCGTGGCCAAGCTGTAGTGATGGTTGTAATGAGAAGCTTAAGGCATGAAAGTCATGGTGATGCCAAGTTCATTCTCCAGTCTCTTTCTTTTTTCAGTCCATTAGAATAACTTGAAACCAGATAAACTCAACAGACTCATATAGTCCTTCTGAGGTTCTCAATCAATCTTTTACAACCAGAGGACACAATTCTGCAACATCCTCAAGTTCTGAATGAAGGCGGCTTGTTTTCTCATGCATAATGAATTTAGGGTACAGAACACTAGTTTATACAGTCATCTATTTTTGAACTGAATGAATGGGGAAGAAAGGAAGTAAAAAAAAAAAGGCTCTCAATCATGAAAACCATTGCTAAAAAGGAGAAAGTCAAAGGGTATGATTAGCCACAGTATGTCACTAGCTGTTTCCATCCAACTATTTGCATATGAACATAAAAAACTAATAGAAATGCCAAAATGTGCATTAAATTTTGCACATAACCGAGTAGCATAAAGTTTTTATTCAATTTAAAAAAAAATGCAAATAAACTACAATGGAATCACTTTTACTGAACAAAATCCAGTATGCACATTAAAAAAGGTCATGTGATTTTGGTAAAAGAGATCATGTCATAAAAATGTGTGTGAATGGATAAACAAGCAGGCTGAACACTCTAAAACATCTGAAATGTTCTCTTTAACTAATTGGCAGTGGCAGATTTAGACATGGGCAATATTGCTGGGGGCGGCACAGGGAGATGGTGCAAAAAATAAATAGCGCCCCAGTAAAAACCAACCATGTCCCAGTAAAAGCTTCAAGATGTGATTTACTTTATGCAAGTGAATTAATTTAGGGTGTTAATCTCAGTACAAGGACGTTAGGGGTCATTCACATTTGGCGTCTTTTGCATGCGAAAGTTTGTTATTCTCTATCTGAATTCATAGAATTCGAAAAACAGTATGCGAGAAGTATTCGGATGACCTACTAATTCCAGCAAGATTATAAAGTGTATCCAATGCATGCTGCGCTATCCCATTATGCAATATGAATGGGAGTGAAGCGACGCAACTCACGTGGGTAGGTGAGGTGATTATGACAAAATGGCGGATGTAGTACATCCATGTTCCATTCATACTGCTCACATTCATAATGTATAGAACAAACTTTTTTTAACGGCAGAATAGTTTGTTTTAATTCAAATGAGGTACCTACAGAGTAGTAGACGGTTTCGGACCCAGCCTTTATTTCTCAGGGGATGGGTAAAGGGGTCTATTTAGGGTGGTTCACCAAGGGTGCCATTTAAACTAGAACTGCCACTGCTCATTGGATGGAAACGCTGCTTTACTCGCACGTCTTTTATGCGATAATTCAGTTTTGCGCATAGATTTAATGCACATCTTTGGATGGAAAAAGCTACTGAATTGCAAAGTTAATAAAATGTTCCTGGTAATCTATAAGAATATGACAAATCTTTCAGCTTGTCAATATATGAGCATCTTAATGAAAAAAAGAAAGAAAAAGCCACTGACAAGACTTCTTAAGAGTAAAAAAAAATATCTATAAATTTGCTTTATATAACATTCTTATAGGCATTTCAAGTTTGAGGAGATTAAAAAAAGGCAATGGATTGCAATAGCTCATGCAATGAAACACAGTCGTATGAAATACGTCATGAACTTGCCAGCGGTGATTAATTACTCTTGGAATGATGAGGAACGGGGCTCCGATTTGGATTTTGCATCTACAGTGTACCATTTTGGATTTAGATGCACTTTTTTAAAAAGCTGAATGTTAATTTTTGACCCTCTGTGTGCAATTGTATTTTTAAATCATTTTCAAGTCGCATCGCAATCTGTTTTAGAGTAGATATTAAAAAGCTGTAAAATGGTTTCCACAGCACGAAGAAAGAAAATCCGAACATTTACACGAAATCTATGTACGTATATACACACACTTGACTACACCCTAACCAACTGAAATCCATCATTGGGTTTTCTTTTAAAATGGGTGTATGGTGACTATATACAGAGGCAGGCACTATTGTTCTGTTTCCTACGTGTGTTTAGGCGTATTTCAGTAATCTGTAGTTGCGCTGTCTGTCTAATAAGTGTTCTTGTTAATATCATGCAGCAATTCTTGTAACAGGAATTGGTTCCGGAGGGGATGGCTAGCTATAAAGTTCAACAATTTATATCTGTGCTTCTTTTAGGTGATGAAATGAATAGTAATAAAAGCTGCATCACAGGGGGAGAGCGAGGGGATTAATGACAGGGATAGTCTCAGATATTACACATGCTGCTGCAATAAGAACTCCACCGGAGAAGATGGCATGTTAGTTGTTGTAAAATGAAATGTAAACGCATTAATGCACTCTTCTGTCTATTTGAACGGAGTTCCTTTATAAAATCTAAAAGAAAATAAGATGCTTTTTTGTTGGAGTGTAATCTGAGCATCAGCCTACAACTCAAAAGCTAATACTACACGAATGAGAAGAGAGGAAAAAGCAGTCCCTTAAAAGCAATAGTGAAGTGTAAACTTGAAGCTGTATGAACGTGCACCCACGGTTCAGTCCAGACCTCTGCATGGCCCACACAGCGATGTGACATGAGGGAGAAGAGCTGGAAGTCACTGGAGTCACTCTTCCAATGGGCCCGTGAGGGTGTCAATGCAAGAGCTGTCGGTATCTGAAGCCAGCGTCTGCTCCGTCGACATGGATGAGATGTCATTAATAGAGGACGACTGGGAGGGAGTGGCGCTGCTGTTAACCGTACCGTCTACAAAGCACAAAGAGCAATCCATTACTATGAGTGTCTCTGAGGGTAATGTGTTATTTATACTTATGAATGCAGGCAACATTTAACCCCGCACCTGTTTCATACTGTTCCAAGTGATTGAATTTATTATAAACATCAAGGCTAAACAAATGCATTTGACGTGAAACTAAATTTAGCTGCATTCATGTCATTGCAATTACTACACTTCAAAAAAAAAAAAAGATCAATTAGTCGTGACACTAAATGTTTTAGTTCATTGAAACTTATTAAACCAAGAATATCATGTTCTAACTTAATTGTATAAGTTACACAAGCTGTTTTCAGTCAGTCTAACATAGGTTAAATAGATTCATTTGATTAAGCTTAAATATTTAAAGTAACCAGGATTCTTTTTACAGTGTAGGGATGCACTGAAATAAAAATTTTAGGGTGAAACCCAACATTTTGCATGCACTTGGCTGGAAACCCTAAACTGCTTTGTAATAATTATTTTTATTTCATTAACACTGGAACTACCACAGGGTGTCAAGGTGGTGCAGTGGGTAGTACAATCGCCTCACAGCCAGAATGTTGCTGGTTCGAGCCTCAGCTGAGTCAGTTGGCATATCTGTGTGGAGTTTGCATGTTCTCCATGTGTTCACGTGGTTTTCCTCCAGGTCCTCTGGTTTCCCCCAAAAGTCCAAAGACATGCGCTATAGTTGAATTGGGTAAGCTAAATGAGTGTGTGTGGATGTTTCTCAGTGATGGGTTGCAGTTGGAAGGGCATCCACTGCGTGAAACATGTGCTGGATAAGTTGGTGGTTCATTCCACTGGGGCGACCCCTGATTAATAAAAGGACTAAGCCGAAAAGAAAATGAAGGAACGAATGATTGGAACTACCAACATTCTATAGCTAATAAAATTACAATAGCGGTCACCGCTCTCATACAAGACATCATGTTGTCATAGAAAACTTCTACAGAGATTATAAAATTAAGCTTTGATTGTCTGTTATCATAGTTAATTAAGTCATTACCCTAAAAATACAACCTTTTTGGTAATACAACCTATAAATATATACAGTTAGGCAACATTAGACCACTTATGAATGAATCCATTTTTTTTTTCACTTTCACAAGCAGGGGAGAAGGTTTTTCATGGCACTAAACATGCTGTTTTGAAAGACATATCTTTGAAGATATGTTTTTGCCAACAGAAAGTTGTTTTGGTTAGCATGAAGTTGCTAGGCAAAATTACAGGGAAAAGTAGCAGACATCAAAATGCATGCTATGGTTTATCTAGGTAGAAATAAAAACTCTTTTGTGTTTTTTTTTTTTTTTCATTTTAATAAAATATCAATGTTAGAAGGAAAATACACAATTTTAGTAAAAGTCATGGAATTATAGATACAGGTGTTTTATCTTAAAGTTATTAAACAGCAAAAATTACAAATGGTCAAAATTACCACCTCTGTAGATCTAGTGATAAATAATATTAATTGATTTTTACATATTTACATTTAACTCAATAACCATCATTTTACAGCTTAAAAGCCAATGAAATAACCACATTTAAGATTACAAAAACTTTTATTATTAATATTGAATGCGGTGCCAAGGCAGCACTACTGCAAATAGCAGGAATGAGTTGCTCTTGTGATCTGATCGGTGCAGCAAAAAAACAACTTCGCTTTTTGAAAGCAAAGGTTTCATTCCTTCATTTTCTTTTTGGCTTAGTTCCTTTATTAATCTATGGTCGCCACAGCGGAATGAGCCACCAACTTATCCAGCATATGCTTTACGCCAAGGGTGTCCAAACTCTGTCCTGGAGCGCTGGTGTCCTGCATATTTTAGCTCCAACTTGCTTCAACACACCTGCAAGGATGTTTTTAGACTGCCTAGTAAGAGCTTGATTAGCTAGGCCAGTGTCTGATTGGGGTTGGAACTAAACTTTGCAAGACACCGGCCCTCCAGGACTGAGTTTGGACACACCTGCTTTACACAGTGGATGCCCTTCCAGCTGCAACCCATCACTGGGAAACATCCACACACACTCATTCACACACATACACTTCAGACAATTTACCTTACCCAATTCACCTGTACCACGTCTTTGGACTTGTGGGGGAAACCGGAGCACCCAGAGGAAAACCACATCAACACAGGGAGAACATGCAAACATTACACAGTAATGACCCAGCTGAGGCTCGAACCAGCGACTTTCTTGCTGTGAGGCTATCGTTCTACCCACTACGCCACCATGATGCGTAGTTTGATGCATGTTTCATAGCATTGCGATTTTTGCGTTTAGTAAAAGCTGTTTCAGATTGCGAGAGAGCTGGAGGGAGAGTGAAATCAGTGCCCTGAACAATGCTGGGCAGTGCAGATCAGTCAGACTTATTTTTTCTCTCATAATTTGTTCCATCATTAGTAATTACCTTAAATACGCATCATTCACTTTATGCATTATAAATCTGCTTTGGAATAAAAGTAGCAGCATAATACAGATTATTTAAATAATAAAAGAATAACTATTAAAGAAAATATGTGACTCACCTAAACACTCCTCTTTCAGTACCCCATTCTTGTTCCGCTCCTCCCAGTCCATTACTTCTTTATAAATCAACTCTGCAAGGAGGGAAACCCCACCCCAAGAAATCATTAACAGAGTTCAGTGGATTTCTATGTTTTTTATTTTTTTACAAACCCTTTAGCAAACATTAGGATTATGAACTTTTAATGTCAAAATCTTTTAATGACACAAAATCAACCCGATTACTGTTTATTAAAATGAGAACACAAATGACCTTGGAATCATTTAACCAATACACCACAATGATCATTTCTGCTGTAGACATTTATTTACATCTACAGGTAGCTTTTAACGGAAGATGTTGACAGCAGAGGGCGACTGTACCTTTCCACTGCTCGATGCTGTGTTCCCGCTCCTCAAGCTGCTTGTCTGAGATCTGTGGAGGAGGCTGAACACATAAAACAATCAGTACAAATTCAAGGCCCAAGACCTCCCTGACATCGTAAAAACGTCCCCTGTAAAACAGTTTGTGCTAGTCTGGGCAGGACAAAGTGACATAGATAGACAGAGGTGCACTGACCGCATCAGCCTCAGCTGGGTCGTACCACACATGAATGTAGGGGTGATTAAGAGCCTCCTGCACAGAGATACGGCATTCAGGGTCGATTACCAGCATCTTGGAAAGCAGATCTCGTGCTTGACTTGCTACATTGGAAAGAATAGAAATCGGGTGTCAAGTAAAGTTTACAGTTAACGGCATTGTTATCCCAAAAATGATAATTTACTCAGCCTTCCCTCATTCAGTTCTAAACCTTTATGAGTTGACCAGATTTGATACAAGTGGAGAGTGATTAAATGACAGAAATTTCATTCTTGGGTGGACTATGCCTTTAGGAGTGTGCTAGTGTAAAGTAGAAAAAGAAACAGACATGAAAGAAAAGCGAGGATGGTTTTACTTTTGATCTTGTCATGCTCCGTCTCTGATGGGAAGGCCCAGTCGGGAAAAAGCTCATTAAAACTGACTCCAGGAAACTGGGGTTTGTTCATCACATAGTTCCTTACAGTCTCCATCAAACGGTTCATAAACTCCAGAGAGGGGGTTCCCAGAATCTCGATCACCTTATTCCACTGGTCAATATCTGAGATCAGCTTAGTTAAAGAGGATGATGAAATTAAGAACAGTTGCTTTTTTTAAAGGCATCATTGTCCCAAAAATTTTAACCATTTTCTCACCCTACTGTTGTTCCAATGTCGTATACCCATTCATTTTTTTCTTCAGACGACAATATAAAATTTAAAAGATTTTTCATTTATTTTCATTAGTTTCCTTTTTAGAGGTCGCCACAAATCGGAATGAACTGCCAATGTTTGTTCTCATATACAACAGACAATTTAGTTTATTTGATACACTTATAGTGCATGTCTTTGGACTATAGGGGAAACCCTCGCGAACACAGGGAGAACATGCAAACTCCACACAGAAATGCCAACTGGCCTAGCCAAGATTCTAACCAGCAACCTTTTTGCTCTGTTAAAGATTTTATTTTTTTATTAATATCCAGCTTGTGCTCTTTCATATAAAAGGCAAGTAGAAAGTACAGTATTAAAGTAAAAGTAGTAACAGTAAGTAAAAGTTATAGCATCAAAGAATGTATTCATGTACATTACTATGTAATGGTTTCTTTTCATTTGTGAGTTGGTTGTGCACAAAATCAAAGTCAGGATTTTTACTAATTGCAGTATTAGATTAAATGAAACCTCCAGAACATCTAGAATATATGGTATGACATGCAGAGGACCGTTTTTGCAACAAATTATTTCTCATTCTACTATTGTCTTTCCACAAAAGAAAGAAGGGCATACAGCATTGGTAAACAGTACTTTTTGCTTTTAAATTACCTATTCCCTTACTGAATAGAACAGACAATGGAGAATAAAAAGAAGATTAAGTATGGTTAATCAAAAGAATGGCCAGAGAGGAAAAGTTTGCAGAACTATTCAGAGGAGTAGTGTGTGGTTTAATTTATCAGATGAGGGTTTCACAGACCTCTGGAGGATCATGATGGAATTGCATGCAGTTATTACTAGAACAGAATAATGCATTGTACAATACAAGTTAAAAGTGTGGAAACATTAATGTTTAAAAAAAGTCTCTTCTGCATGCAAAGGCCAGATTTATTCGATCAAAAACACAAGTAAAAAAAAATTGCTAAAACAGCACTCAGATTGAGATATTAGTTGTATACTGTGTGTTTTAAAATGTACTTTATTTGTCTGATGCAAAGCTGAATTTTACGCATCATTGCTCCAGGCTTCTGTGTCATATGCTTCAATAATCATCTAAAAATGTTCCTTTAAATCATTTTTCAGAAAAGTTATTTAAGGTATTAATGTATTTATAAAGGAAATTAAAGATGAAAACATCATCTGCTTCACAGTTTGGGGACAATTTTATTTCACTTTAGTAAACAAGTTGAAAACAGTTACTCTAAATGTAAAAAAAATAAAATAAAATAAAAATTCAGTTTTTTAATTTTTTAAAAAAGTTTTTATTGTATTTTTGATCAAATAAATGCAGGTGAATATATATTTGAAGAGCATATTTGAAAAACTAAAACATAAAACTGACATTTAAAAATAGCATTGCAAAAAATGCAAGCTTAACTGCTTATTTTTCAGGTTTTAGAATTAAGTGGATACGATCAGTGCCCTGGAATATGACGCTCCCTTTAACCATTTCGCCCATGATGCAGCCTACAGACCAGATATCCACTGCAAAAAGACAATCAAATATTAATAACACAATTCCATTTCAATATCTTCATTGGCTCTGAAGGGCATTACCGCCAAAAAAAAAAAACAGCATTACCATTCTCCTTGTATTTCATGCCCAGGATGACCTCTGGCGCTCTGTAGTATCTGGTCACTACATAAGGTGTCATCATAAAATTAGTGCAGGCGGTTCTGGCCAGTCCAAAGTCTAAGATCTTTAAAGTGCAGTCGGACTTCACCACTATATTACTGGGCTTCAGATCCTGAATAGCAAAGAGAATGCAATCCCATACTGTCATGCTGAAAGACAATCTCACACATTAACACAATGAAAGGTCTCAGTAGTTTAAAATTCACTTATTAAATCAAATTATTAGACTTTATTAGGAAATGTGGGGTTCTCTCCTTGAATATATGGAATTTTGTACTCTCTGGATGATAATTATTTTTACATTCTTTCCTACTGTGACAGCTCATGTGACCAGGCTTTTAATTTAAGGTTTAAACAATTGTTCTGGTTGGCATTATTTATTTATTTATTTATTTTTATTTTTACAGTTCTAAGACATAAATAGATTTAGGGGTCAATGATTGTTACAATCATTTTGGATCACTTATCTCTCTACATGTTAAAATCAAGCAGCAACCTCCTGCTCTCCCTCGTGAAGCAAATACGGAAGTAAATTTCTTTTTGAGCCCACTGTTACAATGGCCAACTTTTACCGGGAAAAAAAGGTGTTTACAGCCTGGTACAAAAAACAGTTTTGGTTCATATAGCTGATATTACCCTTCATAACAACTGAGTTTTTTTTTTTTTTATCTCATCGGTTTCATTTATTTTAAGTTATATTAAGTTTGCATAATTAAGGGTGTGGCCATTTGAGTGACAGCTAGGTCTCGCTGGTCGCCATCACTTCACCTCAGCTGATTCCGAATGATTAAATAATGGCTTTGCAAAATCAGTTGCCTTTTAGAATTATTTCTTACAATTATTAGATGATATGGCATGCTGTGTGCACTTAATTGTGCTCACAAACCTTTCACGTGGCCTCCATTTCCTAGGTGAGTAAAATTCTAAACGTATATACCATAATTTATAAATGTATTTGTTTTATTTAAAATTATTTATCATTTATAATGTTCTTTAGACCTGTAATGCACTCCAGAATCTGACATATTGATTAACTGTAGGCTCCAAAATTAAGTTTACATTGTGAACATTTACAACACAAACCACTAACTTGTAAATCTGAACCATTGCAAGTTTTTTCATGTCTCTCATGTTACTCTTAAGCCTGTTTTAATCTTCAAAACTGAAAATAATTTTACCGGTGTATAGCCTATGGTTTATGGGTTAGTGTTTTTAGGATGATGCCTTAGAGCTATAAATTTTTCAGAAAAAAAAATTTAGACATGGCCAAGACGATCTGCTGATCTGCTGTTCAAACAGAGCAACAAAATGGGGAAGAAAGGCGAGTTAAGTGACTTTGAACATGGCGGTCTGAGTATTTCAGAAACTGCTGATCTACTGGGATGTTCACGCACAACCATCTTTAGGGTTTACAGGGAATGATCAGAGAAAATATCCAGTGAGCGGCAGTTCTGTGAGCGCAAATGCCTTGTTGATGTCAGTGGTCAGAGGAGAATGGCCAGACTGGTTTAAGCAGATAGACAGGCAACAGTAACTCAAATAACCACTTGTTACAACCGAGGTATGCAGAGGAGTAAATCTGAACGCACAACACGTCGAACCTTAAGGTGGATGGGCTACAGCAGCAGAAGACCACACCAGTTCCCACTTCTTTCAGCTAAGAACAGGAAACTGAGACTACAATTCCCACAGGCTCAACAAAATTGGACGATAGGGTATATGCCGAGCTAGTGCTGTTCCCACGCTGATACACTTCCGGTGACCTGTTATTAAGAACTTTCCATAATTTCCATTTTATACGGTTTCTTTTACAGCATCGATGTTGTAATGTCATTAAAATACATTCAGTTAAATAAACTTTAGCATTTATTTGGTTGCTCAAGCAAAACGAGACAAAAAGCTGTTTACTCGCACGCACCCGTCAGAATCGGCAGGCTAACGCAGAAGCTCTATTGAATATACTGGGGTAAAATAAATGCTCATATTATAAAGATATGGCGGGGGAAATGTAATTTAATGCAGTGCTTCTTGTACAATCTGAGACCCTCTTTAAATCGGATATCACTCAGTCAGTGGAGATCGCTCATTTTTAAAGAAAACAGACCTTAAACGCACTGGATTTTGCATTGGCATTTAATTCACCGGAAGCGCTTAACCCAGGTTACTGGCAAATTAAAAGTCCTATTAGCATGCTTCGGCATATACCCCATAGAAGATTGGAAAAACATTGCTTGGTCTAATGAGTCTCGATTTCTGCTGCAACATTCGAATGGTAGGATCAGAATTTGGCATCAACAACATGAGTTCACTGTACTCAAATGACCTCCACAGTCACAAGATCAAAATCCAATAGAGCACATTTGGGATGTGGTGGAACGTGAGATTCGCATCAAAAATTTGCAGCTGACAAATCTGCAGCAACTGTGTGATGCTATCAAGTCAATATGGACCAATATCTCTGAGAGTTATTTCCAGTACTTTGTTGAATCTATGCCATAAAGAGTTAAGGCATTTCTGAAGGTAAAAGGAGGTCCCAAACCGATGCTAGAAAGGTACTTTATTGTACCTGATAAAGTGGCCAGTGAGTGTATAATACTAACAGTAAAATTAGTCGCAACGTCTTCCTATTACCATAATAATAACTAAACAATAAGCCAAATATTCATTTTAAAGAAAGTTTATGTGACTACATGATATAATGATAATTTTTTCCACACATAAAATGGCAAAACACTCATTTAGTGACTCTCATTGCAGCACTACAGAGAGATCCTCTTACCCTGTGAATGATGCCAGCAGAGTGTAGATGTCTGATGCCACACAGGATCTGGTAGAGCAGGTAAGACATCCTCTCATGGTCCAGATCCATGTGGATCACCTGACAAAGACTAGCATCCATCAACTCCATCACCAAATACCTGACCAAAAAAACAAAACATATACCCATCGGATTCTCCAGGGTTTTCTGTGCTTACATTCAGCTCAGAACATCTCTTACATGCATAATACTGATGAGCAAAGAATAAAACAACCTCAGATCCCAAACCTAAAACTTAAAGACAGCAAGAGAAGTGCTGTTGTCAGGAGTTGTAATTAATCTTGATTTAATAACATATCATTTCAGATCCTAAAGCTATAATTACCACATGCAGCAACGGTACAGTGTAATTCATCAGTTGTTCGTGAGAGCGCATTGTGGTCTCAGCAAAACCATGAATGCTAATAACCACTCCTGGGACCAAAACACCTATTCACCCAGCGGCCACCTGATCTCAGATTACATGAAATGACAGGGTCAGCAAAAACGCACCAATTTACAAGTTCAAAACTTACAAATCCTGGAACTCCTCCAACGACTTCTGGGGTGTGAAGACGTTAAGCAAATGGATGATCTGGAAAGAAAAAAGTGAAGGATGAGAAACAAACCTACATAGAGATGTGGACAAAACTGTTGGTAGACTTCCACTGAAGAAAGAACAAACTACAGTGGTCACCGAAATAACAATGATTAATAAAAATGTATTAAAATTAAAAGAATGAAAATCAGATATTGCTTTTGAATTGTGGTTTTAGCTGAAACAAAATTGAAGGGTACCAACAATTTTGTCCACTTCTTTATAAGAAACAGCTTGGCAACGAAGGCCAGTGTCTCACAACTCAATTTTAAGTTCCTGTAGCTATCAAATGAGGAAACGCTTTACAATAGGGTTGTGTTAGTTAATGTATTTATTAACATACATTTAGTATAGTATTCATCTTTGCTAACATTAGTTAATAAAAATAAAGTTGTTCATTGTTAGTTTATGTTGTAACAGTGCATTGTTGTTTTCAAGAATGAATTTGGATTTTAATAATGCATTAGTAACTAGAACTTAATAATAAATGTCATACAAGTATTGTTCATTATTAGTTCATGTTAGTAAATAGATTAACTAATAACCTCATATGTATATTTAATTAAACTTAGTACTTGCTGATTAATCAATGTGAGTTAATGATAAATGTTAAATTTAGCGCTTTAGGTTTTAGAAAAGTGCATTATAAATCAGGCATGTGATCAGCCAAGGACAAAAAAGAAGACGAAATCGTTTAAAAGCCTTATAATATTAAGTCCAGTTGAATTTAGTAGCCTAATATACTTAAACATTTCACCCTGAAAAAAATATCATAAACTCTTTTTAGCGATGTATCACTTTCACTTTCCCTTTCCTTCAGCAATGTCCCTGCTTTTGAATAGTTTTAATTAATTATAAAATACATTTTTATCAATTTGTAATAGCTTATCATCTAAACATTTAGGTTTTAAATTTGAGGTGCCCGGCTCTAGAACAGGTGATTTACAGAGGATAATAACAAATGTGCAAACTGATTTTATTTATAATGTACATAGAGTGCAAATGATAATGACATGCAATGGAGAGAGCGGAAGAAGCGTGCACAGCTGCGCATGAATTCATTCATTCATTTTCTTGTCGGCTTAGTCCCTTTATTAATCCGGGGTCGCCAAAGCAGAATGAACCGTCAACTTATCCAGAATGCAGCGGATGCCCTTCCAGCCGCAACCCATCCCTGGGAAAGCTGCGCATGCATTTAAAACTATTTCATGATCAGTGGCTTCCTCGTTTGCGCACATTATAGGACTACACAATGTCATTTTACACAATAGTCTAAGTAGGTCTACAATTACATCCCTGAAAGATGACCAGAATGAAGCAGTTACTACTTCTTCCTGTGCACAATGATGAACACTGTAAGGGTAAACCATTAGGTAGTCTGCTTTGATGACGAAGAACCACGCTGACAAAGTTGAAGGCAACTGTATGTAGTGTGAGTACGCCCTTTTTTTGGCGAAAAGAGCAAATGGTCTGTTTTGAGAATGTTTATGGTACCTTTCTAGACTTTAACTACTACTTTTTCTACCTTTTACTAGACCTTTCCTGTCTATGAAGGATGAGGGAGCTCTCAGATTTCACTTAACATACCTTAATTTGTGTTCAAAAGAAGAACGAAGGTCTCAAGGGTTTGAATTACATATGGGTAATTAATCAATGACTTTATACTTACTATTTATACATGTTTTAAGGCTGAACCCCACACTACACTCTTTATACAATTTTCTGAGACAGGCATTAACATTTTTACACTTTTCTTTCTTGTTTAAACACTCTCAAAGTTCAAGCCTTCATAGAAAATTTCAGAATGAAACCAAAAGCCAAAACCTGTTGTTGGCGCAAACATTCACACGGTCGTAAAAGGTTTATAAAGCTTATTAGCTTTTGTGCGAATGACAGTTGAAAGTAAAACACAGACGTGCACATTTGCATGTTTTTTAAAATGAAAATATTCAGATGGCGCACTGTGGTGCTGCAGAACTATAAAAAGTGTCCCAATTCTAAAATGCATGCCACTGCGTGGTGTACCGTGGCACAGCGCATCCGGTTTGTGACCACCTTTATAATGGTCTTGCTGCAGACAGTTACAAGCCTTTTTGCATCCTTCTTGGAACTTACACTGCTAGCAATCAGCAATTTATGTTAATTTGGCAAGCTGAACGCATTCTGAACTGTAAGGAGACACAGAGGACATTGATTGAAAATGGTTTACAGCCAATCAGGTTGCAAAACACAATGCTCTGTTAAAAAAAAATTTAAAAAAAAAAGCATGTCAAATTGCACGAAATAATTCAGCGAAACTGCAAAGCCTAGAAAGGTTATAGCGAGGGACCACTATAATTACATTTAATTAGCCAATTAAATGTTTAAAAGTCGCTTAAAGATAGCATCGATGACATACGATGCAACACAGATGATTGCTTCAGAAAAATTACATTTACACAAAACACAAAACAAAAATCATACCACCAAAATAATGATGAGGCTCAAACTCTAGTGCTGATTATAAGTATTTGACAAAACTCTATTGATTCAAGGATTACATTTGAATTTAGCTTATGCCAATAGTGTGTGTTTTTGTGGTATTCCAATTCTTATTTACTTGTTTTTTTTTTTTTTTTTTTTTTTTCTAAAATGAGCTGTTTGGAAGTAATAGGAGAGAAATGTCAGAGCTAGTTGTTTTATTGACTTCTTTACTGTTAGAGTGTGACAGAACATTCCTGGGGAAAAACAGCCTGTGACAGCCTGACTGAAATGGAGCTGTTTGAGTGTGCAAACAAAATGTACTTTGAGTGGAGGAGTGCACTGTTAAGGGGACGTACGTTCTTGTGGTTAACACACTTGAGCAGAACCAGCTCTCTGTAGGCCCTCTTTGCATGGGTCTGGTTCTGAAAGGGCCGGCTCAGTTTCTTCACAGCAACTGGGACGCCAAGCACTGTGTCCAGAGCGGAGCTAAACACAAAAAATGGGCACATTAATGTAATCACAGTCATCACTGCTATTCCTATCACCCAAGTATGATTTATATTCATATTCAAATTCATGCATGGATAATGTCCCTTTGTTCCTCAATCCCCTTTAAATGCCATGTCATTAAGGTATTGGGACAACATTACAGCAAACAGTGTTTAGTGTCCATCTCCTGTGCTTGGATAAACAATTTAAACATGCAGCTAGCTGTTCATTACTGCAGCTGTAAACCAGGCGTTGAAGCCTCTAATGAGACATTCAGGTCAATGACAAAAACACATCTGCTGCGCTCATGACAAATAGAGACAGCCGATGCCTAATGGGATGTGTGATGATGACATCATTTAGCATGGAGGCAGATAAAGCTCCGCTAATTCCAGTCGCCCACTCACCAGACGATACCCTGGGCACCGGATCCGATGGCGCGGAGCTGCTGGTAGCGTCTGAGGACGGTAAAGGTGGAGTCGCCCACCTGCACGCTGTAGAACTGCCCTTCCCCCTCAGTCATGGCTCCTCCCACTGGATGCCTCTAGACGAATCGAACCTGAAAATCATAGGAGTAAATGAAGAGCAATGAAGAAATGATGTGAGACGTGGCAGTGATGACTGCATACTGATCTCACTCCCCCGTGTTTACGGCACCGTGTGGGGGATGACATTGCCGATGACTCATCCAAGGTGAATCAGATACAGGGCAAAGCCATAGTGAATGACACACACGATACCCTACCTATAGGATGCCATTAGAGAGTCAAGCCAGTGATGTGGTAGATAAAAATCACAGTTTATCGACCAGGACATGCTTAATGGATTTCAGCCAACATAAAACAAAAACAAAAAACTTGTGTTTATCCTAAACAGACTTTGCTGAACTAATAAAACCTCTGTTTACAATTAAAGGGATTGTTCACTCAAACATTTTTAGTTCTGACATTATTTACTCAACCTTGAATTGTTTTAAACCCGTTTTGCTTATTTTTTTTTTCTGTTGAACCTGAAAAAAAGACATTTTGAAGAATATTGGAAACCTTTAACTATTGTCATCTATATTAGGAAAAACAAATAATAATAAAGTCAATGGTTCCAGCAGACGTCTCTAACTTTATTTCATATGCAAGCTATTTTTCCAAAATTGAATGTGTCCGAGAGCTACTTGTGTTATGGTCACAGATTTTTTTTTTTTTTATTAATTATACACTCATCAGCCACTTTATAAGGTACAACAGCTTTTTACGCAAATTTTTAATCAGTCAATCACATGGCAGCAACTTAATGCATTTAGGCACATATAGACATAGCCATATCATAAACAGCAAATCATCTCAGACTGGTTTCCTGAACATGACAATGAGTTTGCTGTTCTCAAATGGCCTCCAGTCACCAGAACTCAATCCAATAGAGCACCTTTGGGATGTGGTGGAACGAGATTCGCATCATGGATGTGCAGCTGCCAAATCTGCAGCAACTGTGTGATGCTATCATGTCAATATAGGCCAGGAATATTTCTAGTACTATGCTGAATCTATGCCATGAAGGAGTAAGGCAGTTCTGAAGACAAAAGGGGGTCCAACCTGCAACTAATAAAATAGCCGTTGAGTGTATATCATATAATGCATCATATATCTTAAATGAACAAAAAAATTAGTTTACTAAAAAAAAACTGTTACAAACAATAATATTTGTATTTTATATTTTATACATTAATTTATTTTCTTTTTGAAGAAATAGAGTGCGATAAATTGTGTTGCAGAAATAGAAACCATTTCAGAAATAGAAACTAATAGAAAATAAAATAGAAAAAAATAGAAAAAGACACAATGTAATATAACAAAGAAAAGTGAGAAAGACAGTGAAAGTGTGAAGGATAAGATTAGATTCATTTTATTTGTTGTTTATTGTCATTAACGTTTACTTTTCCCAGGTTCCTTTTTTAAACAACTTTGAACCGTGTGACATTGGTACCAAAGCCTATGAAGGTGGAGGATGGATGAATGGCCGGAGAGTTTTCGCTGATGAGGGGGATGTGAGGTCAGTCAACAGGATGGACTAAGGAACAGAACGTGCTGATTTTGCTCTGTTGTTGTAATTACATATCACTGCATAACTAATATATATCTAAACAAAAATAGCCTGATGGTTTTCGGCCAATTTAACTAAATAAGAATTAGAATGGATGGACACCCATCTATGTTAGTTTTCTAAATTAATGAAATGTAAATCCATTTTCACATGCTACTCAAAATCAAAGTACAAGTAAAGTGTTGGAATCCCAACACTAGAGTCTTCAGAATATCTTCTTCTTGTTCAACAAAATAAACAAACAAAAAGTTGAGTAAGTGAAGACAGAATTTTCTTTTTTGGGTGAACAATTAAGGTAAACGAAATGGCACACTACACAATATGCACTTACACACTCAACAGCTACTCAACACTACACAATATGCACTTACACTCAAAAGCATAGTATGTGTATATAGTGTCATCGCAAATGCATCACTAATGTTTTTTTTACTAAGAAGAAATTCAAACTGTTTTGAAAAAATGAAAAAAGGAACCATTTGTAAAAAAAGGAAAATATTCAATGTAAAAAATCATCTTTGCTACTGTTGCTGATAATGCTAAATATAGAAATCCATCCAATACATCTTGTACAACATATTTATTTTCAATTAATGACTCAACAATTCATACATAAAACATCTTGTTTAGTTATAGGTAGATCCTTTTTGAAAACTTATTCAGGGACATCAATTTGATCATCTTTCACCAACGTCAAACATTCACCAGTCAGTGTCAAGTTTCATTAAATGGTGCTTTTAATCTTTACCATAAACATCAGTGTTTATATCTGAACTATAAACTGTTCTCCCAGTACTTCAGTGTTATTTAATTGTTTGTAAGAACTGAAAAGGTGTGAAAACAATCTCTCAGTAATTGTTGTAAATGCTGGATTAGCCTACAAGCTAAAAAAAAAGTTATCAATTCGCGGGTCACATGCGTTCCGAACTGTGGGCTGTGATCCATACGGATCACGGATTAACCATGATCCGTTACAAGCCCACTCAAATCAGTCGTGGTTTCGATACTGCCATTTGGCCAGTCAGATCATCAGAGCGATCCAAATGCACTGTTGTGTGTAGCATTCTAAGATATTTCATATCTTCTGATGAATATTTTAGTCCAGGGGTGTCAAGCTCAGTTCCTGGAGGGCCGCAGCCCTGCACAGTTTAGTTCCAACCCTGTTCCAACACACTTACCTGTACGTTTCAAACAAGCTTAAAGGGCTCAATTAGTTTGATCAGGTGTGTTTATTTAGGGTTGAAACTAAACTGTGCACAGCTGCAGCCCTCCAGATACTGAGTTTGACACCTGTGTTTTAGTCTCTACAGTAGTCTAGTACAAGTTCACATTAATTATTTTCTTTGCAACAGCATGTGCACAAAGAATGTGTGCTGTTACACAAACTGCTAATGCTTGCTTTAACCCTAGTTTACTGTTCAAATTTACTACCCTTTTGTTATGTTTGTGGCTGTTTGTGCCTCATTGACTTCCATTTATAATGAAATTTTTTCACTGTAACTAATGATCATCAGTAAATACAAAAAAACATATTAGCTATTCCCAAAAGAAAAAACAAGTGACAATCAAGAATGCATGATTATACGCCGTCGTAGCTTTTAATGGAAGTCAATGGGGCAAAAGCAGCACCAAACATAATGAAATGGTGTTGTTGATTTTTTTTTTACAATTTTCAATGCATTTTCTCAAAATATGTGTAAAATAAGAGGTCAACAATAATCATTCCACTCGCTGAAATGCAGAGTAAGTTCTGGTCAAATTAAGACTTAAAATCACCCCAGAGTGGACGAAAACATCCCCAACAGCCCACAAAAGAGGCGTAATGATTAATCTGTGATCTGTACGAATCAAAACCCACAGTTCGAAATGCAAGTGACACATAGATTAATAATTTTTTTGAACTTGTAAGTTAATTCAACATTCATAACAATTGCAAAGAAATCGCCTCCCGCGTCATTTAAAGCACGTGTATGAAAGCATTTTGGCTTCCCTCTAAAATATAATGATGACGAATAAAGTTGTGGTGGGACCTAAATGCTTTCTTAGGTTATTCATTTAAGGTGATTTCTTTCACTGTTTAGCCAGCAATAACGCATACAGTGACATTCAAAGATCGTGATCTTAATTCAAACCCGCACAACATGAATGATAAATGATAATATTTGTATGGTTATGGTTATTTAGCATTATCAGCAACAGTAGCAAAGATCACATTTCCTATTTAATATTTTCCTTTTTTTTAGCTGATTCTTTTTTATTATTATTATTAAAATTATTAAAATTAATTAAAGTTATATTTGTTAAAGCCAATGATTTTTGCAAAAATATTTTTGTATAAATAACAAATGACATCGTTTCCTCCCTTTTTCGCTGATTCAATGTTCCAAATCCAATCCATGACTCAAAAACTGTAGTGTAATCCGAACCATGAAATTTGTGATGTGTTACACCACTAGCACACAAGGATTAATGCAATTCAAACCTGCAAATTTTATGCAATAGCAAGAATGACATTTGTGCTTTTAAGGTCATGGCACACCAAGATGCCAAAACCTGACTGTGGTATTAGGCTGTGTTGCTCCACTCGCTGCAAGTAACAGCCAACCAACATGATCTGCACCTGTGGAATAACCATCCACACCAGCAGGTGCCAGTAAGCCAAAACGGATAAACAGATGTTCAAGAACTGCAGATTGTTAAACTGCAAATAAACAGCGCTTCTTTACAGTTTTCCCCTTGTTGTCATGTGCATGCTGTTATGACCTCTGTTTTTTACTTTGCTCAAGCTCACCAAGTTGAGCAGACACTCCAAGTGAGCTGAAGTAATAATTGGCAATTCAACATGGGGGACTGAATTCAGTTTTCAGAAAGTCACAGATGGAGAAACCAAAGAAAAAAAAAACAGGCAACCAGACGCTCAACAGCTGTGGTGATATTTATCCAAGTGATTAAATACACTAATGCTAAAAATTGGTTGAATAACTTATAAATTATAACTGATAAAATGTATGCCATCATTTTAATTAAATGAATGCACCAATGTATGTATTCTATACAACATGCATTTCACTAGTTCAGACAAAAGGACAAATGCAGTTTTACCTCTGATGAGTCTAGTAAAGACAGCCTCAAGCCGATGAGGCAGATTGCGTCATTGGACATGCCCTGGTTCCTGCTTCGCTTTACTTCCAAGTAATCCCTCAAACACTGACGCAAAAAAACTATATTTCAAAGATTTTTTTCTTCCTTGTGTATTATTATTATTTAACAAACTCACTGTGGGCTCTAAATTTCCTGTTTTCCTTTCATGTCTTCACTCTTCCCCTTCTGAGAGCAAAAGATGCTACACCGCAGCAAGCACTGCATCTTCAAATATCAGAAAATATTATACATGTAAACAGGTTCTCTAGTGGGATTCAGTCTTTCCAACAGATCCTCCCCCTTGCTGCTGTCATTTTTTATACA